AAAGAAAGAAAGAAAGAAGATAATTTAGCCCACAACACTGAAGAAATATTTTTTTTAATTCCTTTATTTTCTGGCCAGTCATGGTGGCTCATGCCTCTAGTCCTAGCACTTTGGGAGGCTGAGGCAGGTGGATCATTTGAGGCCAGGAGTTCAAGACTAGCCTTGCCAACATGGTGAAACCCAGTCTCTACTAAAAATATAAAAAGTAGCTGAGTGTGGTGGAACACATGTGTAATCCCAGCTACTCAGGTGGCTGAGGCACAAGAATCACTTGAACTAAGGAGGCGGAGGTTGCAGTAAGTGAGATTGTACCACTGTACTCCAGCCTGGACAACAGAGAGGAGACTCTGTCTCAATAAATAAATATATAAAAATTTCTTTAGTTTCAGTAATGGAAAGTCATCATTGTTGAGATTATAAAGATTTGGTTCCTTCACTTTGCTCTCAGTAAAGCAGAACTCTTACAGGACTGAAGATGATACAGCAGCCACTTAATTAGTTTAACTACAATGCCCTATTCCCATTCTCAATACCGAAACAAGCATTTTCCTCAGCAAAATTATGTGAACAAATGTGAACTTGAGTCAGTCCTTTAAGATAAATCCACAGTGGTTAAGTGGGCCTAAATTTAAAATAGACCTAAGTGGGGCAACCCCCCACCCCCGGCACACACTGTGGCTCAAACCTGTAATCTCAACACTTTGGGAGGCAGAGGCAGGTGGATTACTTGAGCAGAGGAGTTTGAGACCAGCCTGGACAGTATCGTGAGACCCCCATCTCTACAAAAAATCAGCCCCCACCTGTAGTCCCCACCACTCAGGAAGCTGAGAGGCGAGAGGATCACTTGAGCCTGGGAGGTCCATGCTGCAGTGAGCCATGATGGCACTACTGCACTCCAGCCTGGGTTACAGAGTGAGACCCTGTCTCAAACAATCAAAATCACCCAAGTGATTATTTGCTAACTAGATGTCACACACATGCTCCGAGTTCCCCAAAAACCCGCACATTTGTTCAATTTGGGGACTCCAGAGCTCAACTGAACCAACCAATCAGAGCTTACCTGCCTTAACCAATCAGGGCTCAGCTGTATCAACTAACCAGGCATCAGCTGTATCAACCAACCAGAACGCAGCTACACTGACCAATCAGAACTAAGCAAGTTTTACTCCTTCATTTACATATGGACCTGATTGGAAACCTGGGTGGAATTTTGCTGTAAATCCAGAACCCTCGCTTTGCTTTTTGAACCACATCTGTTTTACACAGAAGGCTGTATCTCTGTGGTTTGGAAGCTGTTCATGCAATAAAGTCTCTTTCCTTCATATTCTTTTTCAGAGAACTTCTGCTCACAGTTGCTAAAGGAGTGAGTTAAAATAGCTTGGAAAGGAAGGGATTTGTTTGAGGGGAGCTCCACACAGTACTACTATACATGAAACTCCGAAAATACAAGCTAATCTCTAGTGATTGCCAAGGGAGAGGGGCATTACAAAGAGCCACAAGGAAACGTTTATGGGTAATTATATTTGTTCAACAGTTTATTGTGGTCACGGTTTCACAGATGTGCACATACACCAAAGCGTCAAAACTGTACTATGTGCAGTTTATTTTTTTTAATTGCATTTTAGGTTTTGGGGTACATGTGAAGAACATGCAAAATTGTTGCATAGGTACACACATGGCAGTGTGATTTGCTGCCTTCCTCTCCTTCACCTATATCTGGCATTTCTCCCCATGCTATCTCTCCCCAACTCCCCATCCCCCAGCTGTCCCTCCCCTATTTCCCCCCAGTAGACCCTAGTGTTTGATGTTCCCCTCCCTGTGTCCATGTGTTCTCATTGTTCAACACCCGCCTATGAGTGAGAACATTCAGTGTTTGATTTTCTGTTCTTGTGTCAGTTTGCTGAGGATGATGGTTGTGCAGTTTAAGTGAATTATACCTCAATCTGCCTTTCTTGAGACAGGGTCTCATTCTGTCGCCCAGGCTAGAGTACAGTGGCCTAATCTCTGCTCAATGCAACCTCCACCCCCAGGGCTCAAGCAATCCTCCCACCTCAGTCTCCTGAGTAGCTGGGACTACAGGTATGCATCACAATGCCCAGCTAAATTTCTGTGTGTTTTTGTAGAGACAGGGTTTGGCCATGTTGCCCAGGCTGGTCTTGAACTCCTGGACTCAAGTGATCCAGCCACCTTGGCCTCCCAAAGTGCTGGGATTACAAGCATGAGCCACCATGGCCAGCCCTCAATATGCTATCTTAAAAAATGGCTTTATTAATGATAAGAGCTAGATTACAGGATGTAGTCTAAGTATACCCTCCCCAGAATCTAGTCACCCCACCACACTGCAGGCCTTCTAGCACTAGGGATAGACCTCCTGTTAATAGCAGAGAGCTGGCCAGGTGCAGTAGCTCAGGCCTGTAATTCCAGCACTTAGGGAGGCCAAGGCAGGTGGATCATGAGGTCAGGAGTTCAAGACCAGCCTGGTCAAGTTGGTAAAACCCTCTCTCTACTAAAAATACAAAAAATTTAGTTGGGTGTGTTGGCAGGCACCTGTGATCCCAGCTACTTGAAAGGTTGAGGCAGAGAACTGCTTGAACCAGGGAGGCACTGGACTGCAGCCTGGGCAGCAGAGCCAAACTCCATCTCAAAAAAGGAAAAAAAAAATAGCAGAGAGCCACCCACGCAGAGGAAGGCAAGCTGACTGAGCATTCTCAGTTCTTCCCAAATGCTTGTCTTCCAACAGGGAAGGAGCAGGGGATGTTAGTCCAGGCTTCCACAATTTCTTTTTTTCTATAAACAGCCAGAGAGTAAATAGTTTGGGCTTTACAGACAGTCCCTGTCAAAACTACTTTGTTGTAACATAAGAGCAGCCATAGATAATAAATGAATGAATATGGATGTGTCCCAATAAAACTTCAACACAAATCTGTATTTCATATAGCTCACATTTCAAATTTTTTATTTATTTTTAACCATTTGAAAACATAAGACCCGCTTTTCGGCTCGTGGGGTGTGCACATACAAGCCGCAGGCTGCAGTGTGCTGACCCATACTCAAGGGAAATCCCTCTACAATTTCGCATGAAGAAAACAAATTTCCCCCTAAAAATAACTAAGCATTACAGAAAATACAGACACTTTTAGATTAGTGCATATATTTAATAGTGTTATATTAGAAATGATACCTTGTCAACACATAGGGAAAAATAATATTTTAAGAAATAAAACCAAGATGAAAACAGTCCATAATAGCTTTGTCACACACAAAAAATGGCAGTCACGCTCCTGCCCGCACACAAAGGGTGGCATCGCGGCTTAAGTGGTACGTTTTCTCATCTCGCTGCATGGTTTTCAGATAGTCCTTTAGTCATACACATGCTTAGCCTTGTCATGCCATGGGTTTGAATCCTCCTTCATAGAATGTAAACCAGCAACTAAAATGCTTGTTAGCCTGTGAGCCCTACAAACACCCACTCCCTTATCCTAGGGCCTGTTTTTCACTGTCCAAAGCTCTTCGGGTGCTTTATCTCCCAAAGACCCTCAATGATAAGTGCCTACCAGTCCACAATGAAGAGTGCTGGCTGGTCATTCCATCTCGTGCTGGGTTCTGCTGAGAAATGGGGTAACAAGACAGGACCCACTCTCTGATCACTACTGTGATGCTTGATTTCCCATAGATTCAAGATCCTTCCTGTGATGGAAGGATCAGAGGCCAGGCTCAGATGGCCAAGGACAGAAAAGGAGGAGGGCAGAAGTACGCAGCAAACCAACAGGGAGGGGTGGCCCGGTGTGGTCCACAGGAGACTAGGCAGGCCATCTCTCCCTCCGTCCTTGGCTCTCTGCACCTATTAAAAGGAATTCCTCTTAGTCCTGAGAACAGAACTTTCAGGTGGCCCAAAAGTTCCACCAGAATTCGCCCTCCATCCTTCAAGGCAGGAGTTCTTCGTGTAGTGGAAAGCAGAATTCACAGTTTAAAACATTTGCATTCTGCTCTTAGCTCCCCTCCTTCTTGGCCCTGACCCCTGGCAAGCTACTTAACCTCTCTGGGCCTTCAGAGGGCTATGTACAACATCAGAATAATAGTGTCTCCTCTTCAAGGCTGCTCCTAAGAGCAACTTTACAACTGGGTATGTAAAATACATATGTTATGCAGGTGAAGCGGTAAGTGTCCACTCCCTTCTTCAGCATTATGCCCTATGACTTCACATTTGGGCTGCTGTCCTCCATGCCAGAAATCCCCATTTGCATGCAAAAAACCATACCCCTGGTCACTTGTTAGGGAAGATTCTAGGCTTATGAAGCTCAATACTGGTTTAAAAAAAAAAAAAAAAGCATCACATTTTCCTTCTAACACTATAGACAGTATTGAATTGGCTAGTTATACAGAAAGTGTAGGCATAAGCAAAAGAATTATTTTAAAAACAAAATGACACTTTTTGGTTCTACCTTTTCCCAGTAAATTACAATAAGTAAGACAGTACCATGAGGAGGAATACTCCTGGAGATGACAAAAGTACCTACAAGCTGAATTTTTTTTTAAGAGCCCATGGAGAAACACTTTCTCTGGCACGCCTGCCCTGGTCGTTTAGATACCTTGCTTATTAATCAGCAGTGCAATCCCAGTTTTCCCATGTGTTACAACATGGTATTACTTAGGTGTGGTCACAACACTCGTTTTATCTCTCATTCTAATCTTCCCACAAAGAATGCCAAAGGCACCGCCAAAGGCACCACCGAAGCCATCACCAACGCCACCCGCCTCAGGGCCAAGGGCGGATATGGAACTACCCTGACCAGTCAACTCGGCAGGCTATAATTAACTCCAGTTAATTGCTCTGGAGTCCTGCTTTGTGGGTGGGAATGTTTTAATTTTCTTTCATGTTTGAAATAAGATTTATTCAGTAGAAAAACTTAAACATATATATTTCTGATATGGAGTTTTGCTCTTGTGGGCCAGGCTGGAGTGAACTTAAATGTATTTTTTTTTTTTTTAAGACGGGGTTTCACCATATTGGTCAGGCTGGTCTTGAACTCCCGACCTCAGGTGATCCGCCCGCCTTGGCCTCCAAAGTGCTTGGACTACAGGTGTGAGCCACCACGCCTGGCCTTAAATGTATTTTTAAACATATGAAGTGAATACATCTATGTCCAATTCTTTTGGAAAGTACCTGTCGGGTGTCGGGGACCAGAGTATGGTGACCACGCCATCCAAGTTAAGACTGACTGTATTTCAGAGTTTTGGAATATACACAATTGCTGAGTTGTTATCCCTATCTATGGCAGTCCAAACGCACAGCCTACAGAACATAATAAATATTTAATGAATGAATCACTTCTACTGCATTTAATGTAAACTGGGGCTCGGTTTACATTAGAGAATTACCCTACTATACAACACCAAGAAGCTTCAGTGTAGTTTTTCTTAGAGAAAGAGAAGATAATGTTAAAATGCTACCTTCAACCTACTCGGCATGAAGCTCCTCCTCCCCTTCCCCTGGCCTCAGTCCTGAGAATACAATTCTTCCTTAGCTCTTCAACTGCCCACAGCTGCTTTCTCGAGAGAGACGGGAACTGCCACTGACATAGAATTAAAAACCAGGAGGGCTCTGCACTGTGAGTGTTGTCAGCAGAAAACGTGCTGCATGCCAGACCCTCCGCACCTCCACAGAAGACAACCCATGTCTTGTAGATAAGCTGTTTTAACAGCCGTCTGATTACAGGTCTTACAAAAGAAACCGTGTTTAGAATGCTGTTCCTTAGAGGCAGTCACAGGTGCTAAGAGAGAAATCATCCCTCTGTAAATCCTTATTTGATTGAGGTCCTCTAAGGTTCTACAGAAAGAGTTGTTCATCTTTAACATGAGCAATATGATATTGTACCAGCTACAAAAACACAAAACTCTTTTAAGTATATACTTTTTTTTTTTTTTTAAAGACGGGGTTTCACCATGTTGGTCAGGCTGGTCTTGAACTCCCAACCTCAGGTGATCCGCCCACCTTGGCCTCCAAAGTGCTTGGATTACAGGCGTGAGCCACCACGCCCGGCCCAAGTATACACCTTACAGTTTTACCCAGTCTTTATTAACGAGCAGCCCAGTTAAAAGACCAACCTTTTGTTTTGTGCCTCAAAAACCGGTCTTTTAGTACATGGAGATACACACCTAGCCCATTGTAAAAGGATGTGAATCAACTATTCGAAAAGAGTGGGTTATGTGCCGTAACTCACACTGGCTGGTTCTGGATTCAAGGATTCCTGTGGGGTCCTTCCACTTGACAACGGACTGCTCCATTATCTGTCCTTTGAGCAATAACTGGAGGAAGCACCATTTCTGATGGAACCGTTCATGGAAACCTTTGGATTCCCTCTCTCGATCTTTTCTCGGCTGAAGATTGTGTCCTGGTCACTGTCAAACTCAGACTCGGACACCATCAGGCTGGAGTTGTGCTCTGTGCTTCGGTGCTTGATACCTAGAGAGAAGCACAGAAGCCCTGAGGAGGAACGCCACGCTTCACTTCCAGCTGCCGGTCGTTCTGGCTGCAGGTCCCGTGGTGAGCACGGAGCGGTGCTTGCGCACCTGGAGAGCAATCGCCCACAGAAGCAGGAAGTTTGGGTTTCCTAGCAAGTAACTGCAGGGGTTTTGGTGCCTCACCTGAGCTTCAGCTGCAGCTTTGACAATCGCCAGCTGCTTAACCCTGGGCAAGATAGCTGAGCTTTCTGAGCCTTCAGTCTTTATTGGGAAGGTAACACAGCATCTACCCCGTGAGTTTATGGGGAGGATTAAGTGAAACAGTGCATTCAAGCTCTTGGCCCAGCCTTTAATACATCATAAGCATCCAAGAAATGAAAGCTTCTGTGATTTTACCACTTGGTTAAAGTATTTTGGTAGACTATTTGTTCTCAGGGAGTCAAACTAAGAGACGGAACAGGCATTAAATACAATTCCTACTCTCAAAGAATTTATAGTGTCTAGCCAAGGGGTTAAGACATAGATTTGGCTGGGCCTGGTGGCTCATGCCTGTAATCCCAGCCCTTTGGGAGGCTGAGGCAGGAGGCTCACTTGAGGCCAGGAGTTTGAGGCTGCAGTGAACTGTGGTTGTGCTGCTGTACTCCAGCTTGGGTGACAGAGCAAGACCCTGTCTCAGGAGGAAAAACAAAAAAGACATAAAAGGCACAGGCTCATGAGAAGATGGCTCATAACAGGTAAGACATTTTTTAAGTCCTCCGTAAATTCAGAGGCGATAAGCACATATACTTATGATGGGGGCTGCTGCAGTGACCATTCCCCTAGGGTGATGCTGCAGAACCTTCTCCTTATTCAGCTAAAACTGGGTTCCTGTCTCACTACCAGGAAAGATGAGGCTCTTGGACACATAGAAAGGTGAGAAAAATGAAACTTATTGGGCAAAAAGTAAAGAAAGAAAAACTCCCAGCAAATACAGAGGGAGACCTGCCAACACCGTCTCTCCTCACAGATTGAATTCCAGGTGACCACACAGGAACTGAAGAGGCAGGCTTCACCCCACTGCAAATGACGCACACTTCCCGTGGCTCCCTCCCCTTCCCGCAGTGCGCAGGTGGACATTATTGACAGAGAATCAGCTGGGGAAGGGTGGGGCCTTCATCAGGACCCAGCAGTCCAGTTTTTCTGCCTTCAGGCTGTTTTAGGCTTGAAGGTGGCATTTCGCCAGGGACCCTTGTCTGTTTCCTGCCTCTATCAGTCAGATTTGAAGAAGGAAGAGAAGTTAGGAAGGCAGGGGAAGGGCATGGAGTGTGCAGAGGCATCCAGGAATATTTAGAAAAAAAATAGTTTGTAGCAAATGATTCCTGCAGGAAATAATGAAGGAGAGGCTGGAGAGAGGCAGGGAACTCACAGAAAAGCACGTGAATACAAGGTTTGGATTTTATCCTCTAAGCAGAGGGATGACAGACACTATTAAAACGTTGTTCTAAGATATGAATAAAACCACAGTGTACAGGATGGAAGGAGAACAGACAGTAAACACAGAGGCTGCTGGGGTCTGAATGTTTGCACCCCCACAAATTCATGTGCTGAAATCTAATCCCTAAATGGTGGTACTAAGAGGTGGGGCCTTTGGGCGGTGATTGAAGGGGATTAATACTCACATGAAAGAGGCACCAGAGGCCAGGCATGGTGGCTCACACCTGTAATCCCAGCACTTTGGGAGGCCAAGGAGGGTGGATCACCTGAGGTCAGGAGTTCGAGACCAGCCTGGCCAACATGGCGAAACCCTGTTTCTATTAAAAATACAAACAAACAAAAAAAAAATAGCTGGGCATGGTGGCAGGTGCCTGTAATCCCAACTACTTGAGAAGCTGAGGCATGAGAATCGCTTGAACCTGGGAGGTAGAGGTTGCAGTGAGCTGAGATCGTGTCACCGCACTCCAGCCTAGAGGATAGAGACTGTCTCCAAAACAAAAAGAGGTACCAGAGGCTGCCTTGCCCTTTGCACCATGTGAGGATGCAGGGAGGAGGCGCCATCTATGAGGAAGTGGCCCTGGCCAGATGCTGAATTCGCCTTCCCAGCCTCCAGAACTCTGGGTAATAAATACCTGTTGTTCATAAGCCTCCCCGTCTGTGTCGTTTTGTTAGAGCAGCCCCCACGGGCCAAGGCGGAGGCAGTGCAATGTAGGGGAAGAGCCCGACCTCCAGCCCACCTTCACCACTCACCAGCTGCGTTACTTGGGCAAGTTGCTAAACTTTCCTTTGCCTCAGTTTCCTCTTATGTAAAATGGGGATAATCATTGTACATACTCATAGTGCTGTGGGTAGGATTAGAATTCAATGAGTAAAGTGCTTCAAAAGTACCTAGTACATATTCGACATTAAATATCTGTTAATTGTTATTATTACTATTGGTTCACAGGTGAAACTGTACGGACCTGAACTAGGGTGGTGATGGTAATGATGAGGAAGGAGGGCAAGAGACTAGCAAGGTGGGGGGTCTGGAGTGGGGGGCAGCGTGTGTGGGCACCAGTGACAGGTTTCAGACTGGGGCGGTGAGGATGGGGGTTCGATGAATAGACATGGGAATGTCAGATTTCAAGATAAAGGTGGTTGTGACAATGCAGCCTAAAGCACCTTCAGCTCTCAGGTATAAAGTCAGTTGATGATACTGCTGATGTTACGCAATGCAAACGGCGAGCACTCAGCATATGCGACCATGCCTACCTCCTGCGACGCGCTCCTGCCAAAGCACTGTTCACTACACTCTGTACACAATCGTTCCTTCCGACCCGAGTGCTCCTACCGGCATCGTCCACGCATTGGCAGAACTCCTGCACTCCAGTACAATCATCCTCCCTCACGCTGTGAGCTGCTGTAGAGGCAGGCTCTGTGCTTCCTCCTCTCCCAGTGTCCAGGGCCTACCCCGGTGTCTGCGCACAGGGCAGGCATTCAACACTCACTGTGAACAACGTTTTGCACCTCACAGCTCTGAAAATGATTATATCTTCCACAAAAGCTCACTTAGTCATGAACCCAGAATTACGGAAAATCTACAGAATTGGTGTTCAGCAGCCTCAGAGGGCCAAAGAAGTTTCATTAAGTATGCAACAGTTAAAAAAAAAAAAAAAAAAAAAAAAAAAAAAAAAAAGGCCAGGCACCGTGGCTCATGCCTGTAATCCCAGCACTTTGGGAGGCGGAGGCGGGTGGATCACAAGGTCAGGAGTTCAAGACCAGCCTGACCAACATGGTGAAACACCGTCTCTTTTTTTTTTTTTTTTGAGACAGAGTCTTGTTCTGTCGCTAGGCGCCAGGGTGGAGTGCAGTGGCATGACCTCTGCTCACTGCAACCTCCGCCTCCCAGGTTCAAGCAATTCTCCTGCCTCAGCCTCCTGAGTAGCTGGGACTACAGACATGCGCCACCACGCCCAGCTAATTTTTTAAATTTTAGTAGAGACAAGGTTTCACCATGTTGGCCAGGATGGTCTTGATCTCTTAACCTTGTGATCCACCCGCCTCGGCCACCCAAAGTGCTGGGATTACAGGCGTGAGCCACCATGCCTGGCCAAAACCCCGTTTCTTAAAAAGAAGGAAAAAAGTATGCAACAGTTAATAAACGAGAGTGAAAAAGTTAACCGAGGTGGGCAAGAGGCGCTCGTAAGCACAGGGATCAATACACGTTGTGAGGAAAGCTGATTTTCTGTGAAGCCTTTGTGTCTATCTATATCAATGGCTAAGTAGATAACGCAGCTGCTGAAAAACGTGAGACTTTAAAGTGCAAGTGTCTTCTTGCTGCATTTCCGGCCTAGCAGACCTAAAGGGAACAGCATTCAGAGGCGGATTGTGGGAGCGTCTTCCACTGTCCCCCACCCTCCAACCAGGAGTAGAAAAGTAACTGCGTGCTGGGGGCACCTCTGTTTAAAGAGCAGTCCTTGCCCTGTGGTCACTGGTTGGTGCTCAGTTGTAACACTTCATATCCCTTATCCATGCATGCCTCGAAGTATCATGCCAAAATATATTAAATTTATACTGAAACTACTGCCTCCCACCCCCAAGCCCTGCGTTAGCGTATTCTCAGGAGATGAAAGTTGTTTTCCTTTTTCTTTTTTTTGAGACAGAGTAGCCCAAGCTGCAGTGCAGTGGAGCAATCTCGCCCAAGTGCAAGCTCCACCTCCTGAGCGCAAGCGATCCTTCTGCCTCAGCCTCCCGAGTAGCTGGGATTACAAGTGTGTGCCACCACAACCAGCTCATTTTTTTTTTTTTTTTTTTTTAGCAGAGACAGGGTTTCACCATGTTGCCCAGTGTGGTCTCGAACTACTGAGCTCCAGCGATCCACCCGCCTTGGCCTCTCAAAGTGCTTGGATTACAGGCATGAGCCACCATGCCTGGCCTGAAGGCTGTTTTTCATCACAGAATCCCAGCCTCACTCTTCCCTCATAATCAAAGTGCTGATTCCAGCTGACCATTCTCCCTCCATCCTGGTTAGCTCACAGGCATACCTAGGTTAAATCGTGTGAAGGTGCCAGGCAATGATTCCAGAGACTGTCTTACCATATTTGGGCCTCAGTTCCATTCTTTCCTGTTCATCCATGTTATCCAAGATGGTGTACTTTGTTTTCTTCCTGATTTTAGTCCTTTTTTGTCTGAAAGGAACAATGAAAAGCTCAACTCAGATCTTTAGAAAGGTAACTGAGATCCAGGATTTAAAACACAGGAAAGACACTGAAGGAAGCATTTTGCCTTTATTAGGAGGTAGTTTGGGTCTTTTATTAAGGAAGCATACACAAGGCCAGGTTGAAGCTCAGAGGGTCATTATGCATCTTGGAGAAACACATATCAGGGTATAAACAGCCACATCACTCTTGCCCCACTTATGCACGGGTCTTAGTTAAGCCTCAGGCTACGGTGCCAGGACCTTTAGTGCCATTCTCAGCACCTGTGTGTTGGCCCAAGGAGCTCCTCTTCATGAGTAATTCCTTACTCAGAAAAGCCTGGATGAGCAAAGGTTCCCCTGAACCTATGCGACCCTGCAATGTCCAATGGCTCAGTAATGAAAAGATGTCATGAACTGACAATCAGAAAAAAAAAAAAAAAAAAAAGCAAAAATTGGCCAGGTGTGGTGGCTCATGCCTGTAATCCCAGCACTTTGGGAGGCCGAGGCTGGTGGATCACTGAGGTCAGGAGTTTGAGACCAGCCTGACAAATCTGATGAAACCCTGTCTCTACTAAAAATAGAAAAATTAGCTGAGCATGGTGGTGGGCACCTGTAATCCCAATTACTCAGGAGGCTGACACAGGAGAATCGCTTGAACCCGGAAGGCAGAGGTTACAGTAAGCCGAGATCAATGCCACTGCACTCCAGCCTGGGCAACAGAGCAAGACTCTGTCTCAAAACAAAAAACAACAACAACAAAATACCAAAAATTATAATAAATTCCCACAATTAATTAGCAACAACTGTTCCCTACTTTTTTCATTTTTTTCCCCCTCCACATATGAAAGCTAGGCTGGTCCCATATACCTTATCCTATGTACAGAGACTGTTCAAAAATACACATCGAAACCATGCTGAGTCGTGTAGAGAACAAGACAGTAATTTCACAGCATAAAAGTAATTTTCTGAGAGCATGATGATCAGCAGCATGGGTCTTAATTTAGCACTTACTAGCTGGTGACTTTGAGAAAATTATTTGAGACTTTTGTGCCTCCATGTCCTCACCTGTAAAATGGGAGTGAGAAGAGTTTCTTTCTCACATGGTTGATGGGAGGAGTAAGTAAGATAATACGTACAGAGCACTTAGCCATTAATGACAATGGCAGATACTTAATAAATGCTCACAGTTATCCCTACTGTCATCATCTTCTGCTTGACAGACATGTCGCAAAGCTGCGGATGTTTACTGCCACGTACGGTAGGGTCACACCGTCCCATATGTCTCTGGGAAAACTTAATGGAATTGAGGCCTCTATGTGCCTGTGCCTGGCTCCCTTTCCCCAGTCTTACTTTTGGGAACATAATCACAAATAAAACTAAAATAATCTGTAAGTGATATCTGAAAAACAACTATTAAAATATATATATATATATTTTTTGAGACCGAGTTTCACTCTGCTGCCAAGCTGGAGTTGAGTGGCCCAATCTCAGCTCACCGCAACCTTCACCTCCCAGGTTCAACCAATTCTCCTGCCTCAGGCTCCCAAGTAGCTGGGATTACAGGCATGAGCCACCACACCCAGGTAATTTTATGTGTTTAGTAGAGATGGGGTTTCACCATGTTGGCCAGGCTGGTCTCGAACTCCTGGCCTCCAATGATCCACCCTCCTCAGCCTCCCAACGTGCTGGGGTTACAGGCGTGAGTCACCATGCATGGCCTAAAATACACTTTTTAAAAATCACGTCTTTGGAGAGCATCCGTGGTGTTTACATGAAAGAGTGGACCTGATGCTGTCTTCTAAGGACTTGAGTAATCACTTTCCCTACAAGTCTCCTGACTGAGGGTTGAGCATGGAGTTCTGGAAGATTCGGCCAATGAGGCAGCGCGAGGCTTCGTCAGCTCCATGGAAAAAGGAAACACCTGAAGCAAAAATTCTCTTGGGCGGTGTTATTGCCTCAATTACAGTTTCAAATTTATTAAAAATGATTCAGGTAGATTATTGTTTCACATAATGAAAATAATCAAAATCTGCTATTTGTAACAGTATGCTTCCAGATCTTCTTCCTCTACTGAGACCTGGAAGGCCACTTAGGTACTTGTGAGATATATATATATATATAATAGATGTCTGTTTTTATCATGGTTCCTGGCTAATAATTCCCACGGCCCTTATTATAATGCTGGGGCACTTTGGGCCTCAGAAAACAGAATTTCCCTCTCTCTCTGGCCTTCTCCTGCCCTCCTTTCTCCCCAAGGCAAGAACCTTCTCCTGCCTTTCTGTCTCCAATCTGGCTACAAAGAAATTCTCTGACCTACTTTGTCTGATTATAGGTCATAAAACCCTCATTTCAGGAGTTCTGCCTCCTACCCAGGAGGATGGAGCGCTTTACAGAGGGGCGAGAAGAATCTGGACAGGCCTTGCTGGGCTTGCCCACTCAGCCTGTTAGTATCAGATCCTACCTACCCTTTATGTCCAATTACTTTTATACATAGTTATAAATCATGCCTATAAATATCCAATGACGCCTTCATAGAAGGCCCAAGATAAGGGGGTTCAGAGAGCTTCCGGACAGCCAAACGTGGGGTTCCCAGAGGATGGCACGCCCAGAGAGGGCACGGAAGCTCTGGGCCCCTTCCCCATACTGCACCCTGTGCACCTCTTCATCGGTATCCCTGGTAATATCCTTTGTAATAACCACTGTGTTTCCCTGAGTTCTTTGAGCCACCCTGGCAAATTAGCTGAACTCAAGAAGAAAACTGAGGGACCCAATTTACAGTCAGAAGCCCAAGTAAAACAACCCGGGGTATGTAACTGGCATCTGAATGGGGTGGGGGGCAGTCTTGGGGACAGAGCCGTTAACCTGTGGGATCTGACATTATCTCCAGGTAGACAGCATCAGAACTGACTTGGAGGACACCCAGCTAGCGTTCACTGCACCCTGTTGCTTGCCTGGTGTGTGGGGAGATCTCCCAGACATTGGTCACAGCAGTCCTCTGTTGATTGTTGCTGAGTGAGAATACAGTACCGGTTTGGTGACTCTAATGTGAGACCGGCAGAGAATAACATTAGATTTGAAACAGAACCGTTGAACCTCCTAGAAGTCACAAGAGCTGCCATGAGAAAAAGCTGCCTCTAATATTCCGTTTATGTGGGCAGAAAGTGCATGATAAGGTGTGCTTAAGGTCCAGTTTGTCTTCACAGATAATGTGATTATTAAACAGCTTAGCAGTTTAACAAGCCCAAGTAAACAATGCCTAAGCTGCCATAACACTCAGTGTGGGGTCTCTGTTCCCCACAAATAAGCGCCCTAGGTACCTCTTGCAGCAGCGGATGCAAAGCCAAGCGAAGCCTCCCGTTAGCACAGCAAGGGTAAAAGCCAACACTGTCACATAGAATATACTCCACTCTGAAACACAAGAAAACCGGAGAGGACACAGTTATAGGCTCCTTGTGGAACAACTTTATTCTGATGATTGACAACAAATATTTCTGAATCCCTATGAGTAAAGGCCGCCTGTGGCCTCCGTCTGTAACAGTATGGAGTTGATAGCGTCTCATCAGGCTGGTAGCGGAGCACGGCAAGGTAAAACACAGATAAATCATGAACCACCTAAAATTGCCCTGTTTTTATCTATTGGGTTTCAGGACCTCACGGATCACAAATTTCATGCTAACCTGGGAACAGAATAATCTGAAATAACTAAAAGTAGTCAGTTACACAGTAATGCCTTTTATATAAACACACACATGTCACATCAAAATATTCGTTCCAGAATGCCAAAAATCACAATCCCCACCCCTAAAAGTTCTGGCTTGGTTTTAATAAAGCATCTGTATGGCTGTTTAGGGCATGAAAACATTTTTCACAGCCAGAGAACAATTCAGAAACTACTTGACCCTCGTTCTTTCCACATCCTTGCAGAAATCTAATGTGACAACCTCTGCAACAGTAATTCAGTGGCAGAGAAGCCCAGTTTACTAGAGAGCAAAGTTTAATAGGCTGGGCATGGTGGCTCACACCTGTAATTCTAGCACTTTGGGAGGCTGAGGCGGACGGATCACTTGAGGTCAGGAATTTGAGACCAGTCTGGCCAACATGGCCAAACCCCATCTCTACTAAAAATACAAAAATTAGCCAGACATGGTAGCACACACCTGTAGTTCCAGCTACTTGGTAGCCTGAGGTAGGAAAATCGCTTCAACACAGGAGGTGGAGGTTGCAGTGAGCTGGGATTGTGCTAATGCACCCCAGCCAGGGCAACAGGGCAAGGCTCCATCTCAAAAAAAGAAAAAAAAAGTCTAATTTTATTAAATGTTATATAATCTCACTAGACTAATGATCCAAGAGCTGGCTATTTTCTGCTTTTTCTATAGTATTAAATGGAAACAGAATTTGGCAGTCAGCTCTTACTACCTTTGCTGCCAATTACGTCCATCTGGTTCCCCAAACAACAAATTTACTTAGTAGACTGCCATTAAAATACAATTTTCTCCCCGGAAGGGATCTCAGAGGCACCAGCTTGGCCAGCTGTGGCTCCAGTTTTTGGTGCCTGCCTGTGTGAACAGCTGGAAGAGTGGGCCAAATTCTCTTCTTTACCTGATTCAAGCAGATCCACACCAGGGGCCACTTCACCAGCAAATCACACTGAGCCTCAGCCAAGGCAGGCGTAACCCGCAAATGCAGCCCATGGCCCAGGCAGTTTTTTCTTAGAAATGCCAGCAATAGCGAGCTAGTTCTGCTCTGCCAAAGGGAATTTTCTCATTAGGAAGTTTTACGTAAAAGCCTAAAGACACACCAAAGAGTAGATTGTAAGAAGGGTCTTAACTCACTACAAAGTAAGCTGGTTGACTTGGCTTCAGGTGAGAAAACACTGAATGTTTTATAGCTGCAAAGCTAGGCAGACAGTTCTCTTTTTTCCTCTTCTCTTCTCTTTCCCTTCCTCCCTCCCTCCTTCCTTCCTTCCTTTCTTTCTTCATTTTTTTTGAGTCAGGGTCTCACTCTGTCCACTCACTGCAGCCTTGACTTCCTGAGCTCAGGCAATTTCCCCACCTCAGCCTCCGGAGTAGCTGCGACTACAGGTGCATGCAACCACATCGAGTTGATTTTTTAAGACAGGGTCTTACTACGTTGTCCAAGCTGGTTTAGATGTCCTGGGCTCCAGTAATCCTCCCGCCTCAGCCTCTTGAGTAGCAGAGGCTGTGAGCATGCACCACCATGCCTGGCTTATTTTTTAATTTTTTGCAAAGGTGAAATCTCACTATATTGCCCAGGTTGGTCTCGAATATTAGGCAGATTTGCCTGAGAGTGAGCTGCCTTAAAGCTCCTCACCCAAAGCCAACCTCTGCAGCAGAACTCACCACAGTTGCTCTCTCCGTCCCGGATATAACGCTGTATAAGGTTCTCCATCCATAACTGAGAGCAAATGCAGCGCTTTGTGAGGGGGTCGCAGTGGCCATGGCCAGAACACTTCAGAAGGCAACCTGTAGAGCGATGTGCAGGGCTGAGGTCAGCACACAGGAAAGGGAGTCCCTGCATTCAGCGTCTTTTATGTTTTCAGTAGCATAGGCCCCAAATAAATGCATCCTGCTGAATGAAGAGCGTCTTACAGTGTGGACAGGGCTTCCAAAAATAGCCTCTCATCGTTGACAATCTCATCAGAAAGCAAATGGTAGAAAAAGCCAATCCACACCACGTAGCAAAGGCCTTAAAAATCTTTACTGGTGGGGCACGGTGGCTCACGTCTGTAATCCCAGCACTTTGGGAGGCTGAGGCAGGTGGATCACTTGAGGACAGGAGTTTGAGACCAGCCTGGCCAACATGGTGAAACCCCATTTCTACTAAAAATACAAAAAATTAGCTGGCTGTGATGATGTGTGCCTGTAATGCCAGCTACTTGGGTGGCTGAGACACAAGAATCACTTAAACCCAGGAGGCAGAGGTTTCCGTGAGCCACGATCACACCACCATACTCCAGCCTGGTGACAGAGCAAGACTCAAAAAAGTAACAAAACCGTAACAAGAAAATACGGCTGGCCTAAGAACAGAATTCTAAGTATTTATCTGGAGTGTAGCAGCAATCATTGAGGACCTGCCTGAAGATCTATCTACATTGTAGCATTATTTTAAAACGAACCTTAAAATCCAGGAATAAGGGACTGGTTGTACAATTATGGAATATATCCAGGGTAGAATACTATGGCTGTAAAAATCTTTGAGGACATAATCATAATACATATATTTTTAAGAGGCAAGGTCTTGTTGCTGTGTTGCCGAGGCTGCTCTCAAACTCCTAGCCTGGTGGTGAGCCGAGATCACGCCGTTGCACTCCAGCCTGGGTAACAAGAGCAAAACTCTGTCTCAAAAAAAAAATAAAACTCCTAGCTTCAAGACATTCTCCCTCCTCAGCCTCTGGCATAGCTGGGATTACAGGCATGTGCTACTGTGCCTGGCTTATAATACAATTTGAAGTTAAAAATCAGATTAAAAATATATATCAAGACATCCTGATGGTAGTATTTCAGAGACGAGGGAACTGGGAAAACATGTATCAGAGTAGTAACAAAAATTATCTTTGGATGGTGAGAATTTTGGACTTAGAATTTGGAAAATTATTTTCTTTTTTGTGCCTTTCTGGATATTCTAAGTTTTGTACGATAAATAGATACTATTTTTGTGGCTAGAATAAAAAGGAGTTATTGGCAGGGCATAGTGGTTCATGCCTATAATCCGAGCACTTTGGGAGGCCGAGGCAGGCAGATCACTTGAGGCCAGGAGTTCGAGACCAGCCTGGCCAATGTAGCAAAAATTCATCTGTACTAAAAATACCAAAAAAAGAAAAAGAAAGAAAGAATGAACAAATGAACAAACGAACAGACAGATATTAAAAATTACTTGCTGGGCACGATGGCTCACGCCTGTAATCCCACCTGTTTGGGAGGCCAAGGCAGGTGGATCACGAGGTCAGGAGTTCAAGACCAGCCCGGCCAAGATGGTGAGACCCTGTCTCTACTAAAAATAAAATTAGCCAGGTGTGGTGGCGGTGCCTATAGTCCCAGCTACCAAGGAGGCTGAGGCAGAGAATTGCTTGAACCCAGGAGGCGGAGGTTGCAGTGAGCCGAGATTGCGCCATTGCACTCCAACCTGGGTAACAGAGCCAGACCCATCTCAAAAAAAAAAAAAAAAGTTAGTCCATATTATAATTGAGAAAGTCAATTGTATGCAGACACATATATATGAAACAAATTAAGTTTTCCTGCCCAAACATGATCATGTCCCTGTAGGTGTCTACTGAAATGACTACTTCAACATAACAAGTGATTTGTGTTACTCATGAAATGAAGACAGAAACAATGGGACTGTGAATCATTCTGGTGCCCTGGAAGGGGTGGTAAACAGGAGCTAAGAAAAGAGGTACACCTGGAGAAGGCATTTGTGAGCTGCCCTAAATTTTCAAGGAGCTATAGGCATTATCACAACCTAAGGCAGGATGTCCAGAGGACATAAATTATTTCCACATGGCTTTTCCAGCCAGTAACACTTATTTGCCTTTAACATTGTTCTTTCTGCCAGTGGCCATTATCTTGTGAGTACAACCTTAATTTTTGGCCCATAATTATTATTGCTCTCCATTTTTCTTCCAAGACCAAGAGTAGCTGGCAAATGTGTGTTGCAGGAAACCTACTGGAGAAACAAATGCAGGACAAGCCTCTGGATGCTAAAGAGAAAATGTTCACATGTCACTCCCCTTCTGTGTTTCTAAAACTTATCCATGATTAGCAAGTCTGACTATTCTGGAATATTCCATAGGAACATACCTGCTGTATCAATCCTCAGGACCTTGAAAAGCAAGAAGTCAGCCTTTTCCTTTGAGAGCCGCATGTGCAGATTTCGGGCCACGTCAGCAGCTTTGAGAACCTTGAAAGGTGGCCCGCTCTGTACGTAAAACACAATCACGGTGCTGCGGAGGAGACAATGAGAGAGGACAGCCATGTGGTCATTTGGTGACTGACATGGCCTGCCCACTGTAGCATCCGACCTGTGAAGTCGGGGAGGCAGACGGCCGCAGGTCTGTGGCTTGCCAAGAACAGGGGCATATCTGTGAGCCAAGGAATTGACCTGTTTCTATTCGCAAAGCCTCTTCAGTCTCAGCGTACAGCTGATCAAAGACAGATCTTCAGATAAAAGGAGCAATGTGTCAATTATGTATCAGTTTTTGACAATCCTAAGCAGAGGGGTCTGGAGAGCTACCAGGTGAGTGAAGAAGAATGCATCTTTGCGCTGGGATGTATGAAGTGTCACACCCTAAACTCCATGGGGATGGAAGCTCCCGTGCGCAGGCCCCTTCTAGACCTTGCCCTATGTACCTTTTCATCTGGCTGTTCATTTGTATCCTTTAATATATCCTTTGCAATAAATCCATAATAGTAAGTTTTTAAAAAGGAGCAATGTATATATGTGCGCAAAAAGACAAATATACACAAAATAACTCGCAGGCATGTCTTTCTTTTTACCCTTTTTGAGACATAGTTTACATATCATAAAATTCACTCTTCTAAAATGTAAATTTCATGGCATTTGATATATTGACAAAGTTGCACAACCATCACCACTATCTAATTTCAAAACATTTTCATCACCCCAGAAACACAATCGACACTCATTAGCGCCCCCTCCCCACTGTCTCTGGCAACCACGAATCTGCTTTTGGTTTCTATGGATTTGCCTCTTCTGGACACTTCAGGTAGAGGGAATCATAGAATATGTGGCCATCTGTGCCTGGCTTCTTTCACGTAGCGTCATGTTTTCAAAGTTCATCCATGCTGTAGCACATATCAGTACTTTCTTCCTTTTATTGCCAAATGATATTCCGTTGTATGAATGGATCACATTTTTTATCCATTCATCAGTTGGTGGCTAGAGTTCCTTCCACGTTCTGGCTATTATGAATTCATGCTATGACCATTCATATACAAGTCTCTGTGTAGACATAAGTTTTTCATTTTTATTGAGTATACACCTAGGAGTGGAATTAATGGGTTATATGGTAACTGTATGCTTAGTGTACTGAGGAGCTGTCAAGCCATATTCCACAGTGGTTGTACCATTTTACATTCCCACCAGCAATGTACAAGGCAATGTACAAGTGCTCCAGTTTCTCCACAGGCTCGTCAGCACTTGCTATGGCCTGTCTTTTGGATTCTAGCCATCCTAGCGGGTGTGAAGTGATAGGTCACTATGGTTTTGGCTAGCATTTCCCTGGTGGCTAATGGTGAGCATTAGCACCAGTAGATAAGCACTGTTTTCACGTGCTTATCTACTATCTGTATATCTTCTTTGGAGAAATAGCTAATCTGTAATCATCTCCTAGGGTTGCTGTAAAACATGTCCCACAAAGTGGGTTAAACACCAGAAACCTCTTCTCACAGTTGTGGAGCAATCGAAGTGTTCTGTTAGTTTTGGTGCTGCCAGCCATCCTTGGTATTTCTTAGCTGTGGAGGAAACCACTCCAGTCCCTGCCTCTGTCATTAAGTGGTGCTCTGTCTGTGTGCCTCTCTTTGTGTCTCTTGTTCTCTTCTTATAAGAACAGCTGTCATGGCCAGGAGTGGTGGCTCACACCTGTAATCCCAGCACTTCGGGAGGCTGAGGCAGGAGGATCACAAGGTCAGGAGATTGAGACCATCCTGGCCAACATGGAGAAACCCCATCTCTAGTAAAAATACAAAAATTAGCTGGGCATGGTGGCAGGTGCCTGTAATCCCAGCTACTCAAGAGGCTGAAGCAGGAAAATCGCTTTAACCCAGGAGACAGAGGGTTCAGTGAGCCGACATCGTGCTACTGCACTCCAGCCTGGCGACAGAGTGAACCCCTATCAAAAAAAAAAAAAAAAAAAAGAACAGCAGTCATATTGGTTTAAGAGCCCAGCCTACTCCAGTATAACTTCCTAACTTATTATATCTGCAATGACCCTATTTCTAAGTAAGGTCACATTCATAGGTACCAGAGGTTAGGGCTGGACTAGATTTTCAGGGGGATATAATTCAACCCATAATAAGTGTTTTATCATGAAAGGGTGTTGGATTTTGTCAAATGCTTTTTATGTGCCCATTGAGATGATCCTGTGGTTTT